ATTTTTTTAACAACAAAAGAGAAGGGGTTTAACAACTCGAAAAGCATAAGATGCATACCATACTCGGAATTTATTTTATTGGGAATAAAATAAAATGTCTTGGGCATTTTATGTTCTTTTGATTATTCATATAAATTGGTCTACATTGAATAATTGAAACTTTTGTTTGGGAATTTAAATTGATTGAATGCTAGAATTGTGAATTCTTTTGATTGGGTATTTTAATTTAATTTAATTTAATTTTTTTAACAACAAAAGAGAAGGGGTTTAACAACTCGAAAAGCATAAGATGCATACCATACTCGGAATTTAGCCTCACCCCCCCCCCCCACACACACACACAACAATCACTCTTTAATACTCCTTTATTCTATTCCTGAACCAAACAAATGTAGGACTGGGTACATTTACTCTTAGGATTCCTTGTCTTGATGCCAATTGCCTCACGATTTAACAATACCGTATTGTCTCGTCTTGGGAACAAATGGTCACATGTATTCAACATTACTTGTACTTATCTTAAAGCCTCTCGATCTAGAGTTGTTTTTTTTTTTTTTTTTTCCAAAAGGTTTTGGGCGTTCATAAATGTCATGTTTATGCTTGAACTGGCACATAATTGTGCACTAATATACTATGCTGTCCCATTTCTCTTTTGGGTTCACAAAGTTATGGAATTCTCATTTAAGGTAATATACCTTTTTAAGTTGGGATTTTGTGGTTTTGATTATTGAGTTCAAATATTTTCAATGTAGTTTTGTGTACAACTCATCCTCCCTAACCAATTGAGGTGCTTATTGTCATCATTATTTTTCTCTACTTTTACTCATCTTGTTCTTATTTGTTTTAATTTTTTTTTTCTCTTATGCCAAATGGTAAAAGGTTTGTGGTTTGGTATGCATACTTATATATGGGCCAAGCCACCCTTTGGTAGTGCATACTTGTATACATAAATTTTCTTATTAGTAATGCATACTTATATTTTTAGATATTGAATTCTCTGGTGGTAGGTTAAGCTTGTTATATGCATTGTTCAGAATATTGTGGTAGATATCTCCTTTAATCAATTAGGAGGGCTCTATACACTTTGCTTTCTTGAGCGGGTACATTACCATCTTCAATTCTCAAATCTAAAGTAACGCCACTTACTTATTATCAAATAATGAAGGGAAAAAGGTGACGAACTCACTTAGTAGTTCAATGATTTTACATGAATACATTTTGTGCAAGTTGCCTCAATAAGCCTGGTACTGATAGAATTGGTAGTGTTAGTCTTTTATGTAATCATTGATTTATTTATATTCTCCTCCACCACTATGTTAAAATTATGGACATACATCTTCTTGAATGGAACCCAGGTTACTATCATTTGGGATATAGATTGTCAATATTTGCTTGGACTGTATAGTTTGGAATGTTCTTATTTCTTAGATTTATAGTTATCTACCGTTGTGTTTTAGTTACCATCCATTATCCAAGGTCTTTAATATGTTCAATACTTACATTTTTGTGCTCATAGCATTGTAGTTTTTTGTTGTTTTTTCAAGAAAAATATCAGCTAAGTGTAATCTGATTCAATTAATATTGAAGGACACTTGTGTGTGTCAAAAATGAAAATTAGGTGTAGTATTTGAGAGAGTTGCACCTTAAGGGCACTATTAGAATCCCTATTCTATTAGTTAACAAGAAAACTAGTCTTGCATTTCAAACTAGAATAAAAATGTTATAATGAACTTATTGTTTGCATTCCCATACTCATTTTAGGAAATACATAGATTTGTATTCCTAGTGTTATTGGTGTTCTAATGAGTAGGTTAGATTCTTTGTAAGGAGTTAAAAAATCCTGGGAAATGAAGATTCAAACAATCCACAAGATGTAATTAGTTCCACATATAGGAAGTAATAAGCATAGAAGATTTTAACAATCCACAAGATGTAAAATCTGAGTGATGTTGCCATCACTTTCTTTTGTTTTCTTCTTTTTATTTTTTTATACTTTTTTGTCCCTCTTTTCATGCTCATTCTTTTGTCACTATGTTCTAATTTGATGCCAATATCTCTTCAAATTTGCATTGATTAGTGATGACATAGTTCTTACTTTAATTGCTACCAGAAAGTCTTGCATATATGTAGAAGAATTTCAGGTGAGTGTTTAAGAACAAAAAAAGTTACATTGACTCAACAAAGTACTAACTAGTTGACAAAAAGCAAAACATCACATGGTTTCTTCATTTTAACTTCATTCATAATGGTCAAAGCTCTTGTGTGAGTTCATATTGAAGAGGTTATTTAAAATCCACATTTGGATTCTTTGCTTAAAACAATTCTGTTAGATGAGAATCCTAGTTTTGACTTGGATTATTTAATAACTAAAGACCGAGCTGTGCTTCATGATCTTTTTATGCTCACAACTTTTCCATTCTCTAGATGTATATTGATAGGTATGATAATTGTAAATATGTTTATATCCTTTGAATAATTTATTTCATAATTTTGTACAACCAATGTATATTTGGTTTCTCTCCCAAACAACTTTACTGGTTTCCATCAAGAAGGAAAATTGTTGTAATATTTGGTTGTACCTCTCTCTCTCTCTCTCTCTCTCTCTATGTGTGTGTGTGTGTGGGGGTAGAGGAAGAATTGTTGATTGTAATTTAGAAGCTATGAATAGTGCTTTATAAGTTCTAAATATTCCAAACTTCAAACCCGTTCCTTGGTATGGAATCAATTTAAGACCTATTTGGGAATATACATATTACTTGGTAGGTGTCTATTAACCCCATTCTCCATCCTCCATTAAAGTATCCTATGTAAAAATGATGCAAAAGAATTAGCCGCTATGTTGGTTGGTCATAACTATTTGGTTCTGCCTCGTTCTTATGCTAGGCAAGCCTATGGTAGTAACATTTCGGGCCTACTCCAAGGATTAGATCTTCTTGATTCTTTAGCAAAGGCTAAAGGTAATTTTTGGGCTCTTTCTATAAACAAACAAGTGTCCTGTTTAGTCATGCAATAGCTTTTTATTATTTCAGTCTGAATCCTAAAAAGATCAAGTGCTAAACCCTAAGATGGCATATTCCCAATGCTGTTCCAGCAAAACCTATCATTCGCCAAAATTTAGATGATGTCATTCAGACCCAAGGAGGAAATGTGTATATTCAGTTTCAGAAACCTCCACAGTTGATCCGAAGCAATTCCTCAAATGCAAGTTTTAGAACAGCTCCTCGCAGCCTTTCTAATAACAGTTTCTGTTCTGCTCCCCCTTATCGGGTAGATTTACCAGAATCCAGTAGGCAATCTGTAGATTCCCTCATACCCGATAGACCTCCTAGTCGACCACCTAGCGATCCTAATGAGGATCCAATGATTTCCGAAATACAAGGTATTAGGATATCTAATAACCAAATACCCCATGGTATCTATATGACCCCAGCACCAGATAGCCCAACGGCCAATGACATGAATTTTGAAATCTAATGGATTTTACACCAGGAAGTGCAAATCGTAAGTATTTAAACCAGGAATTTCTTCAACCTCAATACCAGGAATTTAGGATATGGTATTTTGCAAACCATACACCTCAACAGTTACAAGAATACAAGATTCAATATTATCAGCACCTTGAACTCCATCAGATATTAATACCTTTTGTAGAATGGTATTATACAGTCTTAAGTTCCCAATTAAATATATTAGAAGACCAGTATAAGACGTGGACTACAGCTGAAGGACAGGTCATCCATGCCCTTCATCCACCACCTCAATCCTTAGAGTTAGCTCCTAATGGAGAAGTAACTCGTCAACCGTTAGTTGCCACAGCATATATAGATGCCCAATCAGCAAGATTTAGTAAATCAGACTATATTAAACTTTCAGATCTCGGCCTTGTTTGCAGACAACATAATTATACTAATTTGTTTTGTCAAACAATGGGCAAACAGTTAACTAGAATTGAAGAAGCTATTAATACTTTCAGAGATAGGAATTTAGCTCCACCAACAGTAGGACCTTCGACAATCCATCCAGTATCCATTAAGCCACCATTAGAGGTCACCAATTTTAAATTAAAAGCCTCTAATACAGAATTTATGGACACTCTATTACAGAAAATGAAAACATTAAATGTTAGACCAGAACTCAATGAACCCTCTGGTTCAATCCAAATGCTTAGAGCAAATCCTACATTAGAACAGGAAGAGGACTTATCACTTGAACAAATTCAAGCGATACAATTAAATTTCCAGGAACCCACATCTGTAGCCAAACTTCATTCCTATAATTCTTCTCGACCACCAACCAGAAACTATTATGCCAGGCCAACTCCTCCTGATGTACTCTATGAAGAGACATACATCAATGATCAAGGATCTTACCATGGTAAAACCATCTATGAATGGAATATAGATGGCGAATCTGAATATGGTATTTATAAGAAATTACATCAGATGATGATGTATGCCACCGTTTGCCACCAATACAGTAATAGTGACCATGCCATTGTTAAATTCATTATTAATGGATTTACTGGCCAGCTCAAAGGATGGTGGGATAATATTCTCACTCCTCTCCAGCACAATGAAATTCTTACTTCTGTTAAAATTGAGCTGGATCCAACCACTCAACAACCTGTTCAACAAGAGGATGCCGTCTACACTCTTATCCAGACCATTATTCTTCATTTTGTTGGTACCAGTACTAGCTCCTCCAACCGTAGTCGTGAACTCTTACAGAATTTACGTTGCCCTTCTTTGACCCATTTTAAATGGTACAAAGATGTTTTCCTCATCAAGGTCACTCAACGCCCTGATGCTAACAGTAGTCACTGGAAGGCTAAATTTATTGACGGCCTTCCTACCTTTTTTGCCGAACGCGTTAGGAAAAAACTTCGGGACCGCCATGACCGGATGTCTATTCCTTATGAACAGTATACATAGGGACAACTCTGTTCCATTGTTACCGATGAAGGTCTATCCTTATGTAATGACCTTAAACTTCATTATCAAATGAAGCAACAGAATTTAACAGGACGAAAAGAATTAGGAGAATTCTGCGAACAGTTTGCTTATGAACCAGGCATTAAATATCCAGCTAAACCTCGAAAAGTTTCCCATAAAAAACAATCTAAACCCATCCGGAGAAAGTCACATAAGACATATCAACAGAAACCTAGTAAGAAGTTTTATTCCAAAAAAGCTTCATATACAGGAAAAAGAAAAGAAAAATCTAAATCAGAAATTAAATGCTATAAGTGTGGCCAAATTGGTCACTATGCGAACCGATGCAAATCTAAAGTCAAGTCCAAGATTAATGAGTTAAATCTTGATCCAGATATTAAAAGACAACTTCTCCAAACAATAGAGGAAGAATCAACCGAAGATGAGTCTCCTTCCGAAGATGAAGTCAATGAATTATTTTCACCCTCCAGTAGTGACGAAGAACAAGATGAACCCCTTTGCCCTTGTTCAACCAACCAGGATCAGCTATCTGAAATCAATTATTGGAAATCAATAGTTGAAATGAATGGTTTACATTTAGGTGAGCCTAACAGCATTAATGTTCTAACTGATGCACAGAAAGATATGCTAGCAGTTGCAGATCAAATCCAGGATCCAGAAATAAAGATTAAATATCTAAAAATGTGTTATGAACACCAACAAACAGTTCAAGAACAACCTTTAATACCAGTACATTCTTACAATCTTCAAGATGTGCTTAAAAGAATCCAGACTTTAAATTCTACCTCTGTAGAATAACCCACAACAATCCAGGATTTAAAAATGGAAATAAATATTCTAAAAACAGAAGTCAAACATTTACAAACAACTAGTGCCGCTACTATTAAAGATATTAAATATCTGCATAATCAGCTTAAATCAAAGAAATCAGAAACTGAAGTAGAACAAACAAAAGAACAAACAGAATCCTCAACCCAGTATTTACTACTTGTTAATCAAGTCACTTTCCAGAAATGGTATATCAAAGTTTCCTTTATGATACAACCAGACTTTTGGATCAAAGATGCTATCGCTTTAGTTGATAGTGGTGCCGATATGAACTATATCCAGGAAGGCATAGTTCCTACCAGATATTTTCAAAAGACTACCCAAAGTTTAACCAGTGCTAGTGGAAATTCACTCCAGATCCGGTATAAGATTCCAAAAGCTTATATTTGTAACCAAGATTCTTGTCTACCCACATCTTTTGTACTAGTCAAAAATCTTGCACAAAACATCATTTGAGGTACTCCTTTTTTGTGTCTTCTTATGCCCATACAGAAAATTGATCAAACAGGTATCTACTCTCAAATTCAGGGAAGATCAGTTATTTTTAAATTCATAACAGAACCTTATACAAAAGAATTAGATCAAATTCGTGATCTAGTAACTTTTAAAGAAAAACAGATAAATTTTTTGCAAAAAGAAGTTCAATTTTTGACAACAGAACAAAGGTTACAACAGCCTTCTTTACAACAGAAAATCAAATTAATTGAAAAAGAATTTCAAACAAAAGTCTGTAATGATGTTCCAAATGCTTTTTGGGAACGCAAAAAACATACAGTTACATTACCATATGAACCAAATTTTAATGAAAAACATATTCCAACTAGAGCTCGCCCTAGTCAAATGAAAAAGGAATATATGGAAATGTGTAAAACAGAAATCCAAAATCTTCTTGCTAAAAACCTCATCCGACCTAGCCAATCTCCTTGGAGTTGTACCGCTTTTTATGTTAATAAAAATGCTGAAATTGAAAGAGGTGTTCCGCGCCTTGTTATTAATTATAAGCCGTTAAATGAAGTACTTCAATGGATTAGATACCCGATTCCGAACAAAAAGGATCTTTTAGATCGATTACAGGATGCTATTATATTTTCGAAATTTGATCTTAAATCAGGATATTGGCAAATCCAAATTGCAGAACAGGATCGTTATAAAACAGCGTTTACAGTACCCTTTGGACATTATGAATGGAATGTAATGCCCTTTGGTCTTAAAAATGCTACATCAGAATTTCAACATATCATGAACGATATTTTTACTCCTTATACAGAATTTGCTTTATCATATATTGATGATGTTTTGATATTCTCTTCATCAATTGACCAGCATCTCAAACATCTTAATATTTTTAAGAATGTTATTATCAGAAATGGATTTGTTATTTCCGCACCAAAAATGCAATTGTTCCAAACAACAGTTAGATATTTAGGACATAATATCTCCAATGGAAGTATTATTCCTATTAACAGAAGTATTGAGTTTGCCTCGAAATTTCCTGATGAAATTAAGGATAAAACTCAATTACAAAGATTCTTAGGAAGTCTTAATTATATCAGAGATTATTATCATCAATTATCAGCAGATGCTAATATTTTGTATACCAGGTTAAGGAAGAATCCGCCACCATGGGATGAAGAACATACTTTAGCTGTTAGACGAATTAAGGCTAAAGTTCAACAGATACCTTGTTTACAGTTACGAAACCCTAATTGGAAAAAAATTGTTGAAACTGATGCTTCCAATACAGGATTTGGTGGGATATTAAAACAGCTTAATCCCAATACCAAGAAAGAGGAATTATTAAGATTCCATTCTGGTCATTGGAATAAAGCCGCTTTAAACTATCCAACGATAAAACAGGAATGTTTAGCTATTGTAAAATGTGTAATTAAATTTCAGGATGATCTTTTAAACCAGCATTTTCTCATCAAAGTTGATTGCTCTGCTGCTAAATAGGTTTTTAAAAAGGATGTTAAAAATCTTGCACCAAACAGATATTCTTGTCATGGCAAAGTTTTTTTTATCTAATTTTGATTTTGATATTGATTATATCAAAGGTGAATCTAACTCTTTGCCTGATTTCTTGACCCGTGAATATTTGCAGAAATCTACTCCTGAAGAGGAATGACCAGTAGAGGCCATCGTGGTCGTGGTCGTGGCAGGGGTCACAACCCTCGCTATGATCCAACAGAATTTCCGTCCCTTTCCAGAGGACAAACCAGTAATCCATCAGCTAAGGATATTCTCCTTAAGACTGAAGAACCGTATACCCCTAACAGTATCACCGAGGAAACAGTCCTCTACATTGAATCCGCAGATGAGCAATGGATGTCCGATCCATGGGAGATCAAGCGTAGGTATCTTACTATGCAACAATCTCCTCCTCATTTTGACCAGTATCAATATATCTATGAGCAGATATTAACCGAAACCGGGGCAGCTGAATTTAAGCACACTCTTCATGATGCTAACAAAACAACTAGCCCAATCCAATTCAGTAAAATTATTATCCGCAATATTATGCCCATTTCTACATGGGGCATCCATCCGCATACCACTCACGATATCGATTTGCGTAATAAACAGACAAAATACAGTTACTGGGATTATGTTGATGCCTATACCCAGGTTTTCTATTATCAGAATCCGATCAAGAATCACTCTTGGTTTATCCGCATTTGCCTTGATGTCCTTAAAAACGATGTACCTAATTGGTTCCTCGTTTGGTGGGATAAATTTGGACTTTCATTAGACATTTTAACAGAACCCATCCGAACTGCATTCAATGAATGTAATATTGCTTATGCCCGAGCATACTCCTATTTAAACAAAAATAGAGACCTTTCTATCAATAAATCCATAGTCCATTTCACTATCCGTTTTGGTATTCCCTGGATATGGAAGTGGGACTTTGCCTGTGATTACCAGAATACGGTTCCCCGTCTCAAAAAAATCTTTTTTGTAAAATGGTGGGATAAAGGGATGAACCCTAATTTAACAGAAACTGTCCAGAAAATACAACAGCATACCCAAGCATGTTGGGACTCTGTAAAGCAACCAGATTTACCTGCTCCATCACCAGTATTATCCAGTAATCCTTTCATTCAAATCCAAAAAGAATTAAAACAACAATTTCCTCATCTTTCAGAACATGAATTAATAATCAAAAGTATGGATTTTTTGAAAGAACAGTTCCTCCAAACAGTTAGTCCAGATGATGACATCTCTATGAGATCAGGCACCAGTCAGACTGCATCAGAACCCGAGAGTGATCCAGCCGAACACGTGTTGGCAGGAGAGTCACAGCTTCCAGAAGAAGATGAGCCCAACCTTGGTGACTTTTGGGACTCACTAACAGCTGTAATTGCAGAAAAGATGACTAAAGGTAAAGACAAGGGTCCAGCGCATTAATTGTGTCAAGTGTCGGCACTACCAGACAAACAACTTTAGGAAAAGATGCCCTCTACCAGTCAAAAGGAAATTTTTGCTCCACTTTCCGACAAAGCTGCAGATAAGGATAACGATAAGGTGTATCCGTCGGACCAGTCCGCAACAGACACCTGTCCACTTGTTAAATTCTCTCTTATCTTCCTTGTATTATAAATAGGGATGGTCTCACCCATGTTGAGACAGACTAGGACTAAGTTTTAAACTTATATTTACTTTCTCTTTTGTACTTCTTCCAACCCCTCTTGTAAAATAGTAGTACTTCCTCCATTAATAATATCAAGCTTTTGTGTGCACGCTCCATGTTTGTAAGTATGCATGCCCTCTGTTAATGCTTTAGAACAGTTATTATCTTATCTGCAGTTTTGGCAACAATAGAAAAATTATTATCTTAATACACCTGTAGACTTTTATACCCAACCGTATATATCTGAGCGTATATCAGAGTGTAATCAGCATATAGCAGAATTACAAACTCTGATTAACGAACAGATAGTTGCGTGGGCGGCCAGAAGGCCTCCACCTTCTCAACAGTAAATTAATGGGATCATATATGTTGTAATTTATTCTGTTTATCTACATATTATGTGCATGATTATTCCTAGGTTTGTGCTAATATAAGGTTAATTAATTGTTGAGGTTAGTGGGACATCACCCAAGTCGCGTAGGGTTAGGTCTTATAGCAGGGATTGCATGTTGACCGTTTATACCTGTAAGTCGTTGACAGACGTGCTAGCATAAACCTTTAGTGAGCACCTTTAGTGAGCACATATATCAATGACTGAAATGTTAGTAGCTAAAACTTAATAACTAATTTCGCTAAACAATTATGGCGACTACAAAACTTAGTGCCATCAAAAAGCAGACATTAGGCGATTAAAACTTAAAAATAATCAAACATTTGGCTACTAAAATATTTTGTAGCGAAAAAACAAAAAACATTTGCCAACTATAATTTTAGTAGCAAAAAATGTGAGACTTTAGCCGACTAAATGTTTAGCAGGCAAAACAAACTATTTGGCTACTAAAGGTTTAGTAGCCAAAAAAAAAAATAGACTTCTAGCGACTAAAAAATTGGTAGGCAAAAATAAAACTAGACTTTAGGTGACTAAACTCGTAGTAGCCAAAAAACAATCTGACATTTTCCGAGTAAAAAATTTTGTAGGCAAAAACAATTTGGTGAACAAGGAAAACACTTTTTACGACTACAATTTTAGTAGCAAAAAATGTGACACTTTAGGCAACTAAACTTTTAGTAACTAAAACACAATCACACTTTAGGCGACTAATATATTTAGTAGCCAAAAAAATAATAGGAGGAACCAAAAAAAATTTGGCGATTAAATCTTTAGTAGCTAAATATAAGTAACGTTTTTTACGAAAAATAATTTTAGTCACTAAAAAGGTTGTATTTAATTTTTTTTCAATACTTTTGGCGACTAAAAAACTAGTCGGCATTGCATTATATTTGGCGACTAAAATAATTTTAGTCACCATATACCTTCCGCGACAATTCTTCAGTGACTACTCTTGCGACCAAAATATTTAGTCCCTAAAATTTTTTGGCGACTAAAAGATGGCTTTTGGCAACTAAAAATTTAGTTGCCAAAAGTGTAAATTCTTGTAGTGAATATGACTTATCATAGTCTCTTTATTTTCAATCAAAATAAGCATTATTGTTGTCATAAATTTAAAAATGTCCTTGGCAATTTTAAATAATATTTTTATAAATTTTTTTATTTAAAATATTTTCTTTATACATATATTTTTTTTAAAAAATGAGTAGTGTTTGGTTTGAAGTGGTGCTGTGTGTTAGTATTAACCAAAAAACAAAAAAAAAAAAGGAGGTGAAATGTCGGGGAGGGGGGGGCACGTGACCCCCTAGACCCTTAGTGGCTTTGCCCTTGCGCCCAAGCCTAGCTAGTCCGCCCAACGGACGGTGGCGCGTGTGTTTATTTTGAGTCCAATGGGTCTAGCCTACTTTGTCTACAACCTCACCCTTCCACAAAACTTTGATACCCTTTGGGGCCCTCTCCAAGTAGTGAACCCAAGGCTTATGAATCCATACAATGTTAGCCTAACCAAGCAATATGGGAGAAGCTTTCCTTCCTTCAATTTAGGAAACTTACCAAAACACAATTTTCATAGAGCTTACTTTGGTTTCAATTTCTCATTCACCCGATAATGATTTTGAATAATCAAATATAGTACATGAATGACAATGCGGCATAAAATGCGTTACCACCAATCAATGCCGGCCCTGGGCATGGGCCAACAAGGCCATGGCCTAGGGCCTCTCAAAATAGACCCAAAAAAGGGGCCCCCCCTTCTATTATGATTTAGTGTAATATATTAGGTATATTTTATGTTAAAAAAAATTAAAGAAGGCCCAAACTAAATTAAAATAAATTGACCCATTAAAAAATTAAAAAGCCCATTCCAAAAAATTAACATTGTTATCTATGAAAAATAGACCCAAAAAAGGGTCCTCCTATTATAGTTTATTGTAATATATTAGGTATATTTAAAATCTAAAAAAAAAAAAATTAAGGAAGACCCAAAACCAAACTAACTTAAATATAATTCACCCATTAAAAAATTGAAAGGCCTATTTAAAATAATTAGTATTATTATCTATTAAAAATGATTTTGCAAAAAAAAATTAGATTATGCAAGTATGATTGATTTATTTGCTTCTAAAAATGCAAGAAGAGCGAGAATTAAGCGACACTTATTAATTATTGTAATGTAATACTATTTTTTTTTTCACAATTTTTTTGTCTTTTATCTTCATTTTTTTTGGGTCATTTTTTGTCATTCAATGAAAAAAAAAATGTAAACAATCCAAAAATTTATTAGTTAATTATGGACCTTGTGCACCGGAAATCCCAGGGCCAGGCCTGCCACCAATACCCGCCAACCTCATCGCATGGGTTCCACTTAAAAAAATAGACTAAAGTTAAGAAAAAAAAAATTTCAAAACCATTTTTACAAAATTCTATTATGTTTATATTTATGTTTAAGTAATATTAAGATATTACTATTCATAATAAGAAATATTTAAGTGAGTGAATTAGAGTTTGACACGACCATTCTTTACGATAGGAGTATGTAATAATTTTTCTTTAATATGAGAAATTTTTCCATTGGAAAGTTGATTAGGTACTAGCACTTACATTAACTACAAACGAATTAGGCAACTAGCCACAGATGTATCCTTTGTGGCAGTGATGATCACATGTTTTGACATGTTCTCTCACTTCTCAATTATAATAATGCATATACGCTTTTAACCCATGCAATTACATATCTCCATTGTGGGTCAAAACGGGACAATTACCCCAATTTTTGACCCACCTATAAAGTACTAATATTGATTAATTTGGGGTTGATGGTCAATTAGGATAATGTTTTAAAAATCAGTACTATAGGTGCAGCTGAGAGAGGTGCTTTTTCAAAGGCTGCGGCTGACCTCCAGTTGGCCCATTGAAATCATTTTTGAGTTTATT